GATGTTTATACAGTGTTCTCTGATTGTGCCTATGGCACCTCTGCTCTTCACTGGATCTCTGATGTTTATACAGTGTTCTCTGATTGTGCCTATGGCACCTCTGCTCTTCACTGGACCTCTGATGTTTATACAGTGTTCTCTGATTGTGCCCATGGCACCTCTGCTCTTCACTGGACCTCTGGTGTTTATACAGTGTTCTCTGGTTGTGCCTATGGCACCTCTGCTCTTCACTGGACCTCTGATGTTTATACAGTGTTCTCTGATTGTGCCCATGGCACCTCTAGTCTTCACTGGACCTCTGATGTTTATACAGTGTTCTCTGATTGTACCCATGGCACCTCTGATGTTTATACAGTGTTCTCTGATTGTGCCTATGGCACCTCTGCTCTTCACTGGACCTCTGATGTTTATACAGTGTTCTCTGATTGTGCCTATGGCACCCCTGCTCTTCACTGGACCTCTGATGTTTATACAGTGCTCTCTGATTGTGTCTATGGCACCTCTGCTCTTCACTGGACCTCTGATGTTTATACAGTGTTCTCTGATTGTGCCTATGGCACCCCTGCTCTTCACTGGACCTCTGATGTTTATACAGTGTTCTCTGATTGTGCCTATGGCACCTCTGCTCTTCACTGGACCTCTGATGTTTATACAGTGTTCTCTGATTGTGCCCATGGCACCTCTGCTCTTCACTGGACCTCTGATGTTTATACAGTGTTCTCTGATTGTGCCCATGGCACCTCTACTCTTCACTGATTAGCTTAACTTGCAGTGATGTTCTGATCACCAGATGAAGGTGATCTGATAGGACCAACGACTGACATTCCTTGGTTTGTAACCACCAACAGCTGCCTTAATCTCAGGCACCTGCTTACTGCTAGGTGAACACAAGCATTAAGTGAAAGACAACGTTCCCGAACGTCTCCGTCTTGGGTTAGAATCGAACCCGAGAAATTGTCGGTTGTCAACGAACTACATTGAATGTTTCAAGACCTCCTCACGGTGATAGGCTTACACGTCTAAGTTAAGTTTCATCGTTTCTCGGTGTTATCTAAACTACCTCGTTAAGTCCTCAGCTGCTGCAGTTATGAACCTTCGTCTACATGAGCATGATGTACATGAGCATGAGCATGAGCATGATCTACATGAGCATGATCTACAGATAATAAATACTCGTCTGTATAATATACATGATTATACAGGCGAGGAGTCACAATAACGTGGCTAAAGTATGTTGACCAGACCACACACTAGAAGGTGAAGGGACGACGACGTTTTAGTCAGTCCTGGACCATGCTCAAGTCCATTGTGTGAGATTGTGGGAATCAATTCACACAATCGACTTGAGAATGGTCCAGGACGGACCGAAACGTCGTCGTCCCTTCACCATCTAGTGTGTGGTCTGGTCAACAAGTTCTTATACAACTTGACTTATACAAAATCTGGCTTAAGAAGAATTCTTAAGCCAGATTCTTAAGCTTATATCTCCCATCTAGCTTAAGAAGAATTCTTAAGAAGTCTATATCTTAAGAAATATCAGCATGAAACACCCCCTGCACGGTGGCGATATTTATAGTCTGAAATTAAATCGGAAATGTATTTTCCGTAGAGTTTACATCGTATTTTCATGATTTGCTCCTTATTCACTCCTGTGGTCATGATGATATCCTTATAATGCACCCAGAGTTTGTCAGTGTAGGCTACTGATCACATGGCCCTGTATGACTAACCTTCCTGTGTGATTCGGGGATGTTTAGCACCACGTATGTAGTTTTTTGACACACTCTGTACTCCCCTTCATATAGTCTAGGGCAGCTAGTTCTTGACACACACTGTACTCCCCTTCATATAGTCTAGGGCAGCTAGTTCTTGACACACACTGTACTCCCCTTCATATAGCCTAGGGCAGCTAGTTCTTGACACACTCTGTACTCCATATAGTCTAGGGCAGCTAGTTCTTGACACACACTGTACTCCCCTTCATATAGTCTAGGGCAGCTAGTTCTTGACACACACTGTACTCCCCTACATATAGTCTAGGGCAGCTAGTTCTTGACACACACTGTACTTCCCTTCATATAGTCTAGGGCGGCTAGTTCTTGATACACTCTGTACTCCCCTTCATATAGTCTAGGGCAGCTAGTTCTTGACACACTCTGTACTCCCCTTCATATAGTCTAGGGCAGCTAGTTCTTGACACACTCTGTACTCCCCTTCATATAGTCTAGGGCAGCTAGTTCTTGACACACACTGTACTCCCCTTCATATAGTCTAGGGCAGCTAGTTCTTGACACACACTGTACTCCCCTTCATATAGTCTAGGACAGCTAGTTCTTGACACACTCTGTACTCCCCTTCATATAGTCTAGGGCAGCTAGTTCTTGACACACTCTGTACTCCCCTTCATATAGTCTAGGGCAGCTAGTTCTTGACACACTCTGTACTCCCCTTCATATAGTCTAGGGCAGCTAGTTCTTGACACACACTGTACTCCCCTTCATATAGTCTAGGGCAGCTAGTTCTTGACACACACTGTACTCCCCTTCATATAGTCTAGGGCAGCTAGTTCTTGACACACACTGTACTTCCCTTCATATAGTCTAGGGCGGCTAGTTCTTGATACACTCTGTACTCCCCTTCATATAGTCTAGGACAGCTAGTTCTTGACACACTCTGTACTCCCCTTCATATAGTCTAGGGCAGCTAGTTCTTGACACACACTGTACTCCCCTTCATATAGTCTAGGGCAGCTAGTTCTTGACACACACTGTACTCCCCTCCATATAGTCTAGGGCCTATTGACATAGCTCGAGTGCAGGGGGGAGTTGTGTAAAATCCTGGTTTGTGTCTCGGAGAGGCTGCAGGAACCGTTGGTAAATCAGGATGATATACCAACGGTTGCAATTCTTTTAACCATGTCGTAGCTCAGTCGATTAAGGCAGCGTCTGGGATCCTCTAGAACTTAGGTTCGAACCCTCGTCACGGCTCTTGTGGATTTGTTCATATGAATGAATGAATTCGGGTTACAATGATGAAAATAGTGAGTAGTGAAGACAGTTAAAGTGATAGGGAAACAGGAAGAAGGTGAGGGGAAGAGTTACATTCTCTCAAGAGAATGTAGCATTACAGAGAACAGAGGGGATAGTGAGGGACGCCCGACCGTCCACAAGTGGTTGGGCACCATTCCTTTCCCCCCGTCCCACCCCAAAGCCTTATCCTGACCCCTTCCCAGTGCTATATAGTCGTAATGGCTTGGCGCTTTCTCCCCTGATAGTTCCCTTCCACCTGTTTTTCTCTCAGTGGCACGAAGTTAAAATTCGTGCCACTGAATTTTAGTTTAAATTTTTAAATTTAGAAAATTAGATTAACTTAGAAATTAAATTAGAAATTAGAAAATTAGATTAAATTAGAAATTAAATTAGAAATTAGAAAATTAGATTAAATTAGAAATTAAATTAGAAATTAGAAAATTAGATTAAAATTTTAAATTTTAATTTAGTTTACCCTCATATCTTTCTCTAGTAGAGTTGTGTTGAAGAAAACGGACTCCAGGCTCGCTTACCATAGAAATATACGTAAACAATGGCATTGAATCCATTAAATAAAAAAAAATATAATAAATGGTAACAATAAACCAGAATATTTTGCATTCTTTATTATGAAAACACGCTTCAGTATACAAAAGTCTGGCCCTGTGGCATACCACCCATTAACTGTGGCATAACACCCATTAACTGTGGCATAACACCCATTAACTGTGGCATAACACCCATTAACACTGTGGCATACCACCCATTAACACTGTGGCATAACACCCATTAACACTGTGGCATACCACCCATTAACACTGTGGCATACCACCCATTAACACTGTGGCATACCACCCATTAACACTGTGGCATACCACCCATTAACACTGTGGCATACCACCCATTAACACTGTGGCATACCACCCATTAACACTGTGGCATACCACCCATTAACACTGTGGCATACCACCCATTAACACTGTGGCATACCACCCATTAACACTGTGGCATACCACCCATTAACACTGTGGCATACCACCCATTAACACTGTGGCATACCACCCATTAACAAACTCGACTCAAACAAAATCACTGCGTCAAGACTTGTTCATACAATAAACACAAATATTTGGCATTTGAAAAGGAATTTCAATTTTTATATTTAAAAATTACCTCCTGGGTGTCTCATGAAACGAGTCCACACACTTGGTACCGAACTAGGAGTTGAGTGAAAGATCTCTTGTGTGTTGTCTTAAGATGTACAGGACGATCTCACTGTCTTAAGATGTACAGGACGATCTCACTGTCTTAAGATGTACAGGACGATCTCACTGTCTTAAGATGTACAGGACGATCTCACTGTCTTAAGATGTACAGGACGATCTCACTGTCTTAAGATGTACAGGACGATCTCACTGTCTTAAGATGTACAGGACGATCTCACTGTCTTAAGATGTACAGGACGATCTCACTGTCTTAAGATGTACAGGACGATCTCACTGTCTTAAGATGTACAGGACGATCTCACTGTCTTAAGATGTACAGGACGAACAAGAGGTTGTATTCTGCTCACAGCTTCACCTATTACTGTTGTTAGATGTACTGTGTGTGTGTAATTACCTAAGTGTAGTTACAGGATGAGAGCTACGCTCGTGGTGTCCCGTCTTCCCAGCACTCTTTGTCATATAACGCTTTGAAACTACTGACGGTCTTGGCCTCCACCACCACCTTCTCACTTAACTTGTTCCAACCGTCTACCAATCTGTTTGCGAAAGTGAATTTTCTTATATTTCTTCAGCATCTGTGTTTAGCTAGTTTATATCTATGACCTCTTGTTCTTTAAAGTTCCAGGTCTCAGGAAATCTTCCTGAGACCTTCCTGAAATCCTCCTAAGTGTGTGTGTGTGTGTGTGTGTGTGTGTGTGTGTGTGTGTGTGTGTGTGTGTGTGTGTGTGTGTGTGTGTGTTTTCCTGGTAATTGCCCCCCCCCCTCCCCCCACCACAATTGTTGGCTCCCCTAAGGGGATTAATTCTCCCTTTCCCCCCATTCATTGTACAGTCTCTGATACACAATGTCCCTAATGTCTACAGGCTACCTTATAAATTAACAGAGGGGGTAATCAATAAATATTCCACATTATTTTCTAAAATAGGGATTCCTCGAGGCTAGTCTGTTGATAGTGTTGTAAAATTTCCTCGGGTATCTCTTCTGGATCTGGACGATAAGCCACTTGGCCTCCTTAGCTTGCTCTGGGGTACAGAGTCGTCTTGGACACTCTCGTCGAATAATTAGCTCTGGACCCACGTCTGTAAACACACAAAACCATTAATGAATAGAACTTATTCATAGTTGCAGAAGGATTTGAACAATTAAGATTATTATCAATATTTAGGCTAGTTGGAAAATGAACTTTTGGGGGATTTTACAATATTTATTTACTGGGTTTGCAGATTTATTCAGACAATTTATGTCAGGCCTCGTGCAAGATATGAATTGCAAGGTGCAGATTTGCATTATGCAAATATCATGGTAGCAATATTCTAACCTATTCGAGGTTGTTAGACTAGGATTTCTAACCTATCCAAGGTTCTTAGCCTAGGATTTGCATCATGTAAATATCTTGGTAGCAATATTCTAACCTATTCGAGGTTGTTAGGCTAGGATTTCTAACCTATTCAAGGTTCTTAGGCTAGGATTTGCATCATGTAAATATCTTGGTAGCGACATTCTAACCTATCCAAGGTTGTTAGGCTAGGATTTGCATCATGCAAATATCTTGGTAGCAACATTCTAACCTATCCAAGGTTCTTAGGCTAGAATTTGCATCATGTAAATATCTTAGTAACAACATTCTAACCTATCCAAGGTTGTTAGGCTAGGAAGCATTCTCCTGTATAATGAACTTCGGCATATAATAAATGATATTTATAACGTGATGGCAGAAAGGAGGAAGCTCATTTGACTTACTGCGTAGGAGCGGTGCGTAGGTCTCTGGCAGGTCGCATGGCCGCCCCTCGATGCAGGCCAGGGCTTTGTCGACGGTGTCTGGGTTATTGAGGGCCACCTCCAGCTCCAGCCGCGACGGTATCCTGAACCTCGGCCTCTGGCCCTGGCTCCCCACCGCCAACAACGCCACCACGCACGCCATTAACACAAAACGCATCTATAAACACAAGAAAATGTAATAAGTTATTACGAAACGCGTTCAAGCGTCTCGTCAGACTAGAAATAAAAATGAATTTTGGAGAATTGATTTTTCAATTACCATCGACAGTGAAGAGAAACATAAGAAATATTGAGAAAATTCGTGTTAGAATTATTAATCTTACTTTTTCGGTCATATTTAATAATATATGTTTACAAGAAAGACTGCTACCAAAATATACTAATATTAAACCACAAGAAAATATACATGTTACAATTCTTGCAGTGATAATATCTGTTGTTCATCAAATGAACAGTAGATCACCAGTACACCAATAGAGAGGCGGGACCAAAGAGCCACAACTCAACCCCCGGTGTGTATATCCTGTATATTTATACAAACCTTTTCGCGTGCCTGGTTTTGTTGTTATATGAGATAACATGCTGTGGGTCGGTACCTCTTAACATTGGTTCGAGTCTCGCCTTAATCTAGTAACAAATTGCAAGTTTATATCGCCAAAAGAGCGAAAGATTTATACGTTTTGAAGGGAAATTAGAGTTATAGTGTCACGTTTCTGGCAAGTTCATGTCTTGGACGGTGTAGTGGTAAGTTTCCCGTGTACAGCTTTCTCCCCAGAGGAGAGGAGGCGAGGCTTGAGGCCTCTCAGAATGTTCGGTAATGTGTTTATTGTTTGTGATGTGTGTCTATATATATATATGAACACGTTGTACTGATCGGGGGGTGAGAATAGCTTCAGCTACATCATCCCTTTGTGTGTATTTTACCTCAATAAACTTATTTCAGTTTCAGTGAGGCCAGGTAGCCTAGGTCCTCCAATGTCATGCTTGGTCTGGCATGAGCTGCCGCCATCTTATAGGTGTATTTATTGAGTCTCAGCTCTTGCGTCCCGCCTCTTAACATTCAATCGACTAGGTTCCTGGGGCCAGATTCACGAAGCAGTTACGCAAGCACTTATGAACGTGTACATCTTTCCTCAATCTTTGACGGCTTTGGTTACATTTATTAAACAGTTTTCAAACATGAAAACTTGCCAATCAACTGTTGTTATTGTTATAAACAGCCTCCTGGTGCTTCCGAGCTCATTAACTGTTTAATAATTGTAAACAAAGCCGCCAAAGATTGAGAAAAGATGTACAGGTTCGTAAGTACTTGCGTAACTGCTTCGTGAATCTGGCCCCTGGGTCTTTTCCGTTTTCTTATATCCACATTTAATGCTGCATATAAAGCCTCGTCCCACTGTTATACTTCTTAATTAGCATATTCCATGTATAACTTTATCATACACACACAATCATGAGGGCAGGTTATCTACATACAAAATACTCAGGAAAATAGATAAAATGGACAAGGACAGCCGCTTCAAACAGATAAAATCTTAAACAGGAACATTAATGGTAACTGCAGAAGCAACTGTGTCAAAGAAACGTAGGGAAATGATCGTATCCTGTACGTGTGGTTGGAACAGGAAGTAGTGGAAACAACTCTGCTACAACTTCAAGAGAAGAAACACCACAGAATGTTAACATGTTTAGAAAAGCTCTGAGGCAAAGTATTTAGAGCAGGACCTCACATCTGCTTGATACTGATATGTTTGAAAACTCGCGGTGTAATAATGACTAAATCTCTTGCGAGGTCCCACATGTAGCAGGGGATAGGTTAAGTAATAATTGTAATTAAGAAGCAATAAGATGCTTATCTTAACATACTAAGAAGGTTAGGTGAGGTCGGTGTTTTCTATGAAGCTTTTCAAGGGAAACTCAAATATTCACAATCAATTAGTATGTCACATATGCACTTATTAAATAAGCCAATATTGACTATAAACAAGTGCGAGAACGGATTGCACTCTGTGTACTGAGACCTAGTCGTGACCCAAACGATCAAATAAAGACCCTAGACTTGCTTTAACGCTGCGCTGGGAACTTTACAGCTTGTTCAGTTAATATAACCGGATTGTCTCGCCTCAGAAAGAATTTCTCTACGACTTCCTCTCTCTGCCTCAATTTCCCCCTGAACACCCACCCCCTCTTCTGTCTCCTACCCAAAGCCTCATCTTCCCCGAAGCCTGCCCGCTTCGGGGAGCAGGCTTAGACATATTTTTGGTATAAAAAGTCGGAATTTCAAACTGCGAATAGGTGCAGAGAGCCAGAATTTCTGTGTGTAACATATTATATGTTAGATCCCTCCTTTATTACCGCCATTCTGATCTAGACGCAATATTACAATTTCGATGAAATTTTTTGATGTCTCATGTATCTTTCGCCGACACTTCCGTATTCCATAAATGGGGAAGTGACCAGCCGTCTTGCGCGGGTCTCCAAGTCTGTATTGGCTTGTATAGGCACGGTGCGTTACTGCTGGTTATTAGGGAGATATGTGACGGAGTATGTGAGAGGAATACTGACACCATGACCATTAGTGGAGTGTAGCAGGATAGCCTAGTGGGGCGTGGAGCCGGGTGAAAGCTGCCGCCACAATAAATAAATAAATAAATATGTTTATTCAGGTAAGGTACATACATACAAGTGATGTTACATTAATGGATTGATATATAGATAGAGCTAGTACATACAATGCCTAAAGCCACTATTACGCAATGCGTTTCGGGCAACATCTAGATGTAGATGTGGCAACAATATTGCCACATCTACATTAATTACACACCCAAGACAGTTAACTCTTCAGTACCTCTGAGAAAGAGATGATCGTATAATCAGTATAATCGACAACGGTCTAATCGGTTAATATTTTATAAAGTCATAGATCCGTGACAATAATAAGATGGAGGAATTAATGTTTTTGGTGGTGCGCAGCAACACCCTCGTCTGTCCCTGCTTGTCGGCGCCGCCTTCGTCTCCCGCGTAAACATCGCGCCCTTTCCCGCCACAAGCACTCTAGTCTCCCGCCAGTGCTCTTGCCTTACCTTGAGGTGCTTCCGGGGCTTAGTGTCCCCGCGGCCCGGTCGTCGACCAGGCCTCCTGGTTGCTGGACTGATCAACCAGGCTGTTAGACGCGGCTGCTCGCAGCCTGACGTATGAGTCACAGCCTGGTTGATCAGGTATGCGAGGTTGCTCTTCCATTTGTGTTCCTTGTCCCCTCTGCCTCCTCGTCACGTGACCTCCTCTGGCCCGTCTACTCAATATGTGCTTCCCTGAGATTTCAACTTTCTAACTCTACTTCAAATGTCCTCTTCCGGGACTTCTACCTCCGTAGGTCCTCTGGGTCTTACATCTTCTGGCTCCCTAGCATAGAAAACCAATTTTTTCCCCCATTCGCTTGTACGGGTGTGTACTCACCTAATTGTACTCACCTAATTGTGCTTGCGGGGGTTGAGCTCTGGCTCTTTGGTCCCGCCTCTCAACCGTCAATCAACTGGTGTACAGATGTGTGTGTGTGTACGGGTGAAAGACGGCAGAGGGCAGTAATATTATAGGACCAGCTGCTAGTGGAGCTGCACACTCTCTAGGGTAGTGTATACACCCCCCCCAGGGGTCCCCAGCAGTAATACCCCCAGGGGTCCAAGGGGGTCCAAGGGGGTCCAAGGGCGGGGTCACAATGCCCACACCCTCCTTGAGGTTATAAGAACATAAGAACAAAGGCAACTGCAGAAGGCCTATTGACCCATACGAGGCAGCTCCTGTCTATAACCACCCAATCCCACTCATATACATGTCCAACCCGTGCTTGAAACGATCGAGGGACCCCACCTCCACCACGTTAAGCGGTAATTGGTATCTTGAGATGATTTCGGGGCTTAGCGTCCCTGAGGCCCGGTCCTCGACCAGGCCTCCTTTTTGTTACTCACATCCAGGAAACAGCTCGTAGCAGCTGTCTAACTCCCAGGTACATATTTACTGTTAACTTAACAGGCGCATCAGTGTGAAAGAAACTCTGCCCATTTGTTTCCGCCTCCGCCGGAGATCGAACCCGGAACCTCAGGACTAGGAATCCCGAGTGCTGTCCACTGAGCCGTCAGACCCCCTCACAGCTATACATGGCGCTGCAATCCCGTTACATACCAAGATCCAGGCATAGTTTAAACCCTCACGTCCACAGGCACAGAAAACAAACAATAGACTGGAGTACATTAGACAGAAATCACAATAGCGTGATGCATCAAATGAACAAATCCACAAGGGCCGTGACGAGGATTCGAACCTGCGTCTGAGAGCATCCCAGACGCTGCCTTAATCGACTGAGCTACGACATGGTCAAAAGAGACTGGAAGACAGATTGAGAATGTCTTGTAACTAGCAGCAGTGTATCGCAAGACGTATATGGCGGCGAGGAAGAATTGGTTGTTGGTCGTGAAAAGTTAGCTGTCAGACATAAGTGAGGTTATCTTCTTGAGATCTTGAGGTTATCTTGAGATGATTTCGGGGCTTTCAGTGTCCCCGCGGCCCGGTCCTCGACCAGGCCTCCCCCCCAGGAAGCAGCCCGTGACAGCTGACTAACACCCAGGAACCTATTTTACTGCTAGGTAACAGGGGCATAGAGTGAAAAAAAACTGTACCCATTGTTTCTCGCCGGCGCCTGGGATCGAACCCAGGACCACAGGATCACAAGTCCAGCGTGCTGTCCGCTCGGCCGACCGGTTCCGCTGAGAGAGAGAGAGAGACAGCAACCATGGCGTGACCTTGAGGGGGTAGAAAGGTCACTTGAGGGCTGGATCTGTCCCACAGAGCACAACCGCTTCCTGCTAGATAACAACCAACAACCCCCCCCCCCCACACGTGAACAATCTGGACAATGAGCGGAAAAACACGATTAATACCATTTTTTTGTTTTAGTTTGAAAAAAACTTAATTATATACACGAGCGGATCATTAATATTCCAGACAAAGCTTCAACTGGCTACAGATGGAAGAGAGATTGGGAGGGAAGAGACAAGAGTCAGTCTCCCTCCATCCCACCTCCATCCCACCTCTATCCCACCTCCTGGCTCCCTCTCGTCTGCCTCCACGTGTGTCGTAATCACTCTACCACCTTGCAAGCAA